CTGGATAGACTCCTGATTGCGGTCTGGCCTGCCCCCCCCCCCTCGAGGTTTCCTCTGATCAGCCCTTTTGTCACGGATGTGTTGCTCTATTTCCTCATGGAGGCGAGCCGCGGCAAAGGGCGCCCAATGGCCGGTTTCCTCTTTCTCGGGGGGGGCTGACAACAGCACTGTCCGAGCGACAGGGGCCTCTCTGCCACTGGGGCCGCTGCTTTCGGCATCTTCGTCCTGCTGGGGGGGGGCTATGGATCATGGAAACTGTTCTCTCTGTATTATCCTCCCCCCAGTCTACCTCGCGCGGATTGTCGCCGTCGCCGTGGGAGTCCCTATACGAGGTCGGTTCCTCCTTTACCTCCTTCGCTGCATCCGTGGCCCAAGGGGGCTGCTGGCTGAGGTCATCGCGCTCAGCGTGGCCGTCCGAGGCCGGGGGGCGCCTGTGCCAGGCGGCGGCGGGGGAGCGGCCAGCGAGGTGCCCCAGCGGCCCCCCCTGCGAGGTCGTCCTTCCTGAGGGAAAAGAAACGGTGCAGCGTTTCCATCGGCTGTAGCCATGGATCTTGCCCTCTTTGGCAGTCGAGCGCGGCCGAGAAGGCGATCCACCCCTCCTGGAACTCTCCTTTGCCCCCGACCAACTGCGCGATGGCATTGGCGGCTGCAGCTCCATGGCCATCGCGAGGAATGCGCGGGGGATGCCCATTCACGGGGATCTGGTCACCGTAGATGGAGTGGAGGAAGCGCAACAATTGGCTGTGAGTCCAGTCGGATACCTCGCTGTCCACGCCCACTTGGTCTCCGACTCTCCGCCAAAAGTCGACCAGCGGATGTAGACTTCATGGTTCCATTCCAAATTAGGAAATTCACCAGCTTGCGCACTGGGCTGCACGACTGCCCCCCCTCCAGGCAGAGGGTGGCGCGCGCGGGCAGCCGGGGGGCGCCGGGCGGAGGGGGTGGCGGCAGAGCGCACCCGAGTGCAGCATTGCCCTTGGTGCTACTCACAGCCGGCGCCTCGAGCCCAGGAGGGGCAGTTGCGGAGGAGCCCCCCTTTGGGGGGGTGCTGACCGGGGACAGGTGCGTACGCATATCGTAGATGTCTCCCTCATCAGCACCTTCGCTCGCCACCATTGGGACAGGGCTGGGGGGGGGGGGGAGATCATGTTGGAGTATGCGTTCAGCACCTTGTTGAGAGTGCTGGGAGCGACGTCCCAAATGTGCACCGAGCACAGCCTGCAGGTCCAGCTGGCGTTTCATTGCCTCTTGGTCCACTGCGTCATCATAGCTTCCCATGCTGGTAGGCCTGCGCGATCGCATCACTCAGCGCCTTCTCCAGGGTGCCAGATGAAGCACCCATGGGCGGGCGGGCCTGCCAACCATTCGAGCGCTGGGGTGTGCGCGGGGCAAGTCTCACTTTGCGGAATAGCATCCGCTACGGACCGCATGGGCTCCGAACCTGCCGTCGGAAAGCCTTCGCGGTGGCAGAGTGGTCGCTGCGCAGGAGGGGCGGTAGTGGCGCGCCGTGCGCAGTAGTAGCTCTTTGAGGGGGACCTCGGCTCCATCTCCTTTCCGCAACCCCAGTGGGGGCCTGCCCATGGGTGGGAGGGTTCTGGCCCTCTTCTGCCCCCGGCTGTCCAGTGCCATGCGCCTGTGCTCCTGCAGTAGCCATTGCATGGACTTCTTGCTGAAGCGCTCGTCGGGGTCCGGCTCGGGGAGTGAGATGCCCGTCCTTTCAAGCGAGGGCGCCCAACAGCGTCGGCAGAGCCATCTGCAATTCCTCCCTTTCGCGTGCGCCTGCAGGCGGTTCTGAGCGAGGAGCTCGCGGCTGTGGTCATCCCCCCCAGGTGCCTGCGGAGCCCTGTAGCCCTCCGGCGTGGCATCCGTCGCTGCAGTACGCGGCTTCCTTCTGAAGCCCGTCGCGCACAACGGGAGGAATCAGCGTAGTACCTGGGGCGGGTGAGACGGGGATGTCTTCGTCAAGACGGTGGTTGGAGATGGCAATCCCCCCCCCGATGCACTGTGGGTCCTCCATATTTCGCGGGCATCCCAGCCCGATCTCCGCTCCTGCCAGTGCGAGGGGGAGAGTGCAGATGGAACACTCTCCGTGGTGTGGATGATACACGTCAGCTGGCTGCGCGATGTCCTCTAATACGCGTAGGGGAGTTTCTGACGTGAATTCGCGCGCCTCCATCTCGGCCCGCGTTCTTGGACAGCTGTGCTTTTCGGCAATCTCGTGGTGGTGGGCGAAGGTTGCCAGGGCACCTGCGTGGCGGATGACATTGGCGAGCTTGGCGTGGAGAGTCTCAAGGTCCGCCAGCTGGTAACCCCACGTCGTGGCGAATTGCGTGCGAAAATCTCTGTGCGCTTCCTGCCACGGGAGGCAAAGGCCCGTCATGGCCTCGAAGATGTCGCCAGTGACCTCGGGGTTCGGGAAGGGCCATAGCGTGGCCCGGGGCTCACGTAGCTGCAGCATCATGACCACCAGTAGTACTCTGAGTGCGCGTGGGGAGAGCGGCTGTCCACTCGCATTGACCAGTCTGTCTGTGAGCTTTGTATCGATCCCCTCGTGGAGGAACAAGGCGCTCAGGTTCTCCATACCTGGGTGTAACCTGTGCCGACGGCACCTGTAAGTGGTAGAGCTCCATGCCGCTGGAAACTTGTGGAGCGTGCTCCGGGAAGTGCATTGACTTTTCTTCTTGGGGACCTTGTTGGAGCCCACCATGTGAGGTAGGGGGGGAGTGACTCGTAGGCGACCCCGAGCTTTTTGTCGTACCGTGGCGTGCCAAGCCCGAGGAACCAGACGATGGCCGCCCACGTGAGGTTGTACACCAGGTTGCTCGCGTCGATCCCGACCTCCGGGTCAAAGCAATAGCCCAAATGGCCCCATGCCTTCCTGTCAAAGCTGCCAGGCTGCCTGGGTGTGGCCCCCATCTGCCACTGGTGGGGGTGGAATCCAGAGATGGTGTACATCAGAATGCCCATGAGCGGGTCATCGACTAGCGTGTGGATGCTGTCCGAGAGGGCGGCCCCTAGCCTTTCCCAAGAGAACTCCCCATCCAGAGGTGCAGCAATACGGTCCGCGAGTGAGCTTTCCAATTTGGTCTTGACCTTCCTGATGGCGTCGTCCAAGCCCTTTACGCTGACGTCTCCGTCGTGTGTGGAAGCTTTTGGGATCCACGACTCCAGGCCCTTGATGGGGTCGAATCCCTCGTCGCAGCGGAGGGAGGTACGGTTGCCCAGGTTGTCCTCCTGGAAGCGTATCCAAAGCCCGGCCATCCGCCCAAATTCAGAGAGCTCCCTGAGGTGCGACCCCGTGGCCGTGGTGAACATTCTTCCATCCCCGATGATGATGACGAGTGACCTGGCACGCGTGATAGCGACGTTGACTCTATTGGGGTTGTCTATGAAACCCCAGTCGTGGGCGTAGTTGGATCGTGTGGTCAGGTAAACCACGATGCTGGCCTCACCGCCCTGGCTGGAGTCGATGGTGGAGATGTTGAGCTTGCCGCTGGCCAGGTGTTTCCCAGCTACTTGGTATATCCCAAGGAAATGAAGCCCGATTCCATTGGACTGGGAGCTCCATTGCTCCAAGACCTGTCAAGAATTTCTGTGGCGGTTCCACGCTCGGCTGACCCGTCATGCGGCTCTGAGGCACCGATCCGGGCCCCCATAGGGCCATGTATCTATGTGTGTCGGCATGTGTATCTGTATGTGTATATAGCTATTGATGTATAGTTAACTGTATATACAATCGGCATGCATATAGATATCTATATAATTATGTGTATACCTGAAATTGATACGTCAATATGTATATAGACATTCTGCTGCATACATACACATACAATGCGCGATGAACATCTAGATGATCGTCCCCGTTAGGGACAACAGCACCAGCGCGAGGACCATTTGAGCTTTTGCGCACCAGCGATCGCCCCATCGCTCCCGAAGGGAAGACGGGGGGGCATGTTGAAGGCGATGATCCTGATCATAGGGGTCATCACCTTGAACTTCTCCAACGCCCGAGGGCGTCGTGGTCCCTATGGGGGCCACACCGCTGGTGGAAGATCCGCACGACCTTCTCGTGCTTCGACCGCAACACGTAAAACTTCAGACTTGGGGGTCGGCGGAATTCGGCGGAGGAGAACCCTCCCTCAGCAAACCACACTTTAGTGAAAACGACCTGGGACCGAAACAGACGGACCTGGACCCGCAAACGTGACGGCCGCGACGCCCCCACGCGACCCGAAAACGGCCGATTCGCTAATCGGCGTGTCAGGGGCAGGAGGTCTAGCAACCTCCGAGGAGCGGCGTACGCCTCTTGAATCATGTTATCTGTGTGTTCCTCGCCAGCCGTTGCGGGCGGGGCCGCGCGCGCGAGCGGGCGGCTCGTCGCGCTCGCCCAGAAACTCCGTGCAGCTTTCGCCTGGGACTCGCACTCCCGCTTGGGCACGGCGCCTGCTTCGCCTCGCCATCGCTTGGACGTCCATTCCCTGTGTTTTTGGTTTCGTGCGTTGGTTTTTCGCCAAATGTTCAAGGATGCTCCTCGATGGTCCTCGCCGAAGGAAAAATGCACACGTCCGAGCGATGCCAAGGTGAATGCGGCAGCGTTCAGCGGGGCCGCACGAGAGCGGGCGAAATGCCGCCTTCGCCGAACCGATGCGCACTGTGCGCGGGAACATGACGAGCTCGGTCTCGGCGAGGCGCGCGATTTGTCTTCTCGGCGCTCGTCGGAGATCTGGCCGCCCGGGACGACAATGCTGAATGATGCTTTCGCAGCAGCGCAGCGTGAGAATGTGATGTTCCGGCCCTGGCTGTGTGCGGACCGCGTTCGGTTCCCCTCACCAACTGCTCGGCAGCGGGACCGCGCGCGAATGCATGCAGTTCACCAGGGAGAAACCCAATCCGAATATCAAATGGTTTAATGGTGAGAGAGGAGGGGTGGGAAAGGGCGGGGCTCGCTGACACGTGCGACCTGGCTGACTCGACCCCTCTACTCCTCCTCTCGCAGGAGCCTGCCAGACGCCAACCTCGGCAAAGCGAACTCGCCGCCCACCGCTAAGCCAACCGGGCGGAGGTACACGAGCAACGAGACCGCCCGAGGCGGCGTCAACAGCGGCCAGCGTCGATTGTGATCCTCTCTAGACAAGCGCGTTCCACTACTCGCACAATAACCAAGTAGCAAATGGCCTGGGTCCGCCGCGAGGGATTTACGATCCATGACATATAGGAAGACATGCTAGGACAACATTAGTTTTGGAACATTTGCGAGGAGGCACTTTGCGAGTAGCGGAACGCGCTCGGTTTCTTGCTCCCCCCTGGGGTCCACACGGCGATGCTGGCCCGTTCGAAAAGGTTCAGGACGGTGGAGGGCGGGAGAAGAAAGGAGAGAGGCAGGGTTAGGGACGGAGAGGGGGGCGGGTTGGGGGTGGAGGGCGGAGGGAAGAGTAGAGGAACAAAAAACGGCATCAACATACACTTGTGGCGCTCCGCGAGGATATCTTGGATCTGAGCTCCACACCCCTCCCCAGCGCGCGGAGCGCGCCAGGGGCGGCGCCGGAAGCGCCACCATGGGGTCCCAGCGCAGATCCAAGAAATCCTCGCGGAGCGCAACAAGTTTATGTTCGTGGCTTGATCTCGCTCGATGTTGTCAGTCCGCGAGTGGCCGACACACTTTTTTGGAACAAGCGCAAGCGAGCCCCTTGGCGAGAAGGCGGGGAAGGAGGAGAGGGGAGGAGGTGAAACAGGCAGCCCCAACCCCAGGCTGCGCTACGTTAGCCTAATTCGGCGGCCCGGGCCGCGCCTCGAGCCGCCTGCGCAGCGCCGCGGTCCAGCCCGCCTCGCTGCCCCCCGCAAGCACCGCGGGCGCGAGGATGCAGCACGCTGGCCCATCCTGGGCAGGGCCGAGCCACCAGCGCCCGCCAGCGCGGGGCGGCGCTGCCGCAGCAGAGGCATGCGACCGACCTGGGTCCCTGCGACGCCGCGTGCGGCGCCCACGCGCCGCCCCCGAAGAGGGCGCGGGCGGCCTCGGCAGCATCGCGCTGAGGCAGACCCTGGCCGACCGCCCACGGTCGCCGAGCTCGCTGCGGTTGTGGCTGGCCAGCCGCCGACACACACCACCCCACGACGCAGGAGCACCTCGACGAGGCGCAGCTGCGCCCCGCGAGGCGGCGCCTCTGCACCTGGACACGCCGAAGCAGTAGACGACCGCGCAAGACTAATCCGGCATGTGGCAAGGCAAGGTGCAAGAAGAACAGAAGCTGCCACTGGCGTTCCAGGTAAAAAGCTTCGCCCTTCGGCGGCCAACTCCTCGGACAACGCGTAGGTCGGGCGTGTCCACCTACAGGCGGATTCAGGACGAACAAATGAAAAGCACCAACATACATGAATCAAACAATTCGACCAAAATTAATCGAGCAAATCGTGCCCAGACTACTTTTTGACTATATTCATGAAACTTCCTCCTGTAATTGGGAGGGACGCGCCCGCCTCAAGACAACGCCTGAGCCTCAGCCCAGCGCGATGCCGAGGCAGCGAAGACCCGCTTGCTCGGGGATCTTCTGACTCGGGTGAGTCTTGACCCGGGTCAGCAGGAAACCAAAAAACTGAAATGCTGACAACTAAACTGCAACGCAGGTCTTCCCAACCCCGGGTCAGCCAATAGGCGCGGCCGCCTCGCGGCCACGAGCGGCTCGCTGACCCGGGTCAGCCAGAGAGGGTCTTCGCAGGATCCTGCAGGATCCGGTGCCCTGGCTGACCCCGTTTGCATTGACCCCCGTCTCTTGAGCCCTGGCATGCCACCGCTCGCGTTGACCGGCGCCTGCCCGTCTTGCACCTTGCACCGCCTGGCGTCTGCACGGTTCCCCCCGGGCCCGCAGGCGACCCGAGGAGGAGGGCGGCCGTGGGCGACCCGAGGAGGAGGAGGGGGATGGGGGGGAGGTGGAGGAGGAGACCCCCGTTTGCACTGACCCCTGGTGCCCTGGCTGACCCCCGTTTGCACTGACCCCCGCCTCTGAGGCCCCGAAACTTGCCCGCGGGGCCGCGCCCCCGGCGACGGCCGCCGCCGCCCCTGCGCATAGGCCGCGGCAGGCGCCGCAAGGCACGCGCCGCCTCCGGGGACCTGCTCCGGTGGGCCCCTGGTGGGCCGCGCAGGGCCGCCTCCGCGGACCTGGTGGCGCCGTCTCCAGGCATACGCAAGACTCGGGCACGGCGGACTCGGCCGACCAGCCACAGCTGGGGGAGCTGCGGCCCTTACCCCCCAGGGTGAACCCATCGCCTCGACGATCTCTCGAGAGGGGTGTCGAAATCGATGGGTCCCCCAGGCGGGTAAGGACCACGGCTCCCCCAGTTGTGGCTGGCCTGCTCGGGTTGGCCTGAAGGGGGCCATCATGCAGAATGGCGAGAAGCCGTCTGAAACCTGGCGCGGGCCCCCCCGCTGCAGACATCCCACGGAAACTGGACCGTCAGCATCCAGGGCGCGCTCGTCGAAATCCGTCGACAAACCCGAGTTCCGGCTTACTCTCAGGTCGGGCATGTCCCCCCACAGGGGGATTTTGGGCGAAAAAATTTTAAGCATCCAAAAATACACCACACCAAAAAGCATAAACATGCTAAAACAAATGGCCCCCAGACTATTTTTTCACTATTTCTGGATCTTCCTCCTGTAAAGGGACAGGCCCGATTTAAGGTTACTCGAGTCTTACGTTTCCCCGACATCTGCAAAGCGCGCAAGGTCGCCGGCACGCGCCGCCTTCGTGGAACTGCCGGCGCCCTCAAGGGGCCGCGCGAGGTCACCAGCGCCCACAGCTGCCGTCGGTGACCCGACGGCGCCATCTGCCAGCCGCGCAAGGTCGACGGCCCTCCCCCTGCGCCGAGTCATCTTCCACTCCTCTGTCTCCTCCGTCGGGGGATTCTCCGACGCCTGCGCAGGAACACCCAACTGGACGGTCCTGGCTCACGGAGGACTGCGGGGCGAGACCCACCTCGCCCCAGGTACTCCACAGACTCCTCTTGTTGACGTGGGGCCCCGGCTCCCTCACGCCACGGCGCCCAGACCTCAGCGGGCTGAGCAGCTCCTTGCACATGCTAGCCCGCGCCGCGGAGTCAAGCAGAAGAAGCAAAACAGATCACGCCTACAAGCCCCTGGCGCTCCGCGCAGCCCAAGAGATCCGCGAGGAGCGCCAAAAGTGTATGGCCATGGCATTTGCACCTCTTCGATCCGGGCCCCTCGCCGCAGCGGGCGCCGCGGCCGCCGCCGCCGCCCGCGGGCGCCTCACGGCACCAAGCCGCCGCCGTGGGAGGCCTTCGCGCCCGCCGCCGCCCGCGCCGCGCGCGCCGCCCGAAGCGGAGGCCAGCGCGCAGGAGAGAAGGCCGCGCGCCGCACGGAAAGGGCGGCGAGCGGCAGCCGCCCGCCCGCGCGCCCCTCGCGGCGAGAGCTCCGCCGCCGCGGCTACCGCGGTGCACACGTGCCGTGGGGAGGGGGGACGGCCCTGACCTTCCAGGAGGGCTAAAAAATATAACGCGACTTAAGAACCTATCCCAGAGCTATTCTATGTATTGGCTTTAGGCTGTTTCGTTTAGTTTTTTAGGTTTTTAGGCCTCCCGTACTAAAAAATAGCTCTCTGGAAGGTCAGGGGGGAGGGGCGGAGGGCCAGGGAGGCGGAGGAGAGGGGGGGAGGAGAGAGGCTGGAGGGGGGGGGGGGGAGCAGGCCAATGGCATGTCCGCCAACCTGCCCCCCCCCCCCCCCCCCCGAAAAACACAGAAAGCCCTTGGCATCGCACTGCGCTGAAGCGTGTGGCGTCCGCCTGCTGAGGTGTTAATCGGGTGACCTGGATCCTCAAAAAAAAAATCGTGTGATGCGCAATCAGAGAAGGTGTCTTTGCACATTGAACGAGAAAGAGAAGATGACGGACGAGCAGGAGGAGGGGCAAGAGATAAACCCAGCGCGATCAAAAGTCTGGAAACGCTTCTTACGCGGCACTGCTTGGAATTACTTGGCGTTGCTTGGCATTAGTTGCTTCGCATTGCTTTGTGTGACATTGCTTGGCGTTGCGTGGCATTGCTCGGCATTGCCTGGCACTGCTTGGCATTGCTCAAATTTGCTTGATAGCTTGGCGTTGCTTAGCGTCGCTTGGCTTTGCTTGGCTTTGCTTGGCGTTGATATGAATTATGTTGCCTTGCTTTGCACTGGTTTGCTTGGCACTGCTTTGCAAGACTTTGCGTCGCTTGGCATTGCTTTGCTTTGCTTGGCGACCCGACGACCAGGGAACCCGGGCAAACCCGAAGCAACCGGGCAAACCTGGGCAAACCTGGGCAACCCAGGCAACCTGTGCAACCCCGGCAACCCGAGCAACCACTGCAGCCCGACACCGCGCCGCCGGGCAAGCGGGCCATCGGTCAACCGAGCAACTGGGCACCTGGATGCAGGCCGGTCCACTGGGCCGCCAGGCCCTCCTCGAGGAAGGCCGGTCAGCAAAGCAACCCCGAGGAAGGCCAGCTGGCCAGGCCGGGCAGCCAGCGGCTCTTCGAAAACAACAATATGAATCCCGAAGGAAAGCCTACGTTGAGTATCGTTTGACTGGTCGCCATCCCCAGCGGCGTGGCCTGGGCCCCGTTCCCTTCGGGTTTCGAGGGGCGCGTCCCCAACTGGGGGGGGTGATGTGGAAGGGGGTCTCGAAGGGGATGAGGATGGAGATGGGGATCGGTTAAACGATACAGACGAACGATGAGAAAAAAGGAGCCCCAGGACACACACAAATAAATACACACAAATAAATATATGCCCCATATTTTCCCAAATTTCATGGTTTTTCCCAACCATCCTGTGGTGTTGGGTCCTCGTTTTGAAAACACGGTGCCCCGCGACTCCTCCTCCCGCTGCCCCCTCCCTCCTCCCTCCTCCACCTCCTTGCCTCTGCTCTCGGTACATTTCTCACACGTTTCGTGTCCCCATTCGGGAGCTCCGCCGAAGGCCCCAGTGGGAGTGCTCGCATGCGGTTCCCCACCCAGGGCAGCGTTTCGTGTCCCCATAGGGAGCTCCGCCGATGGCCCCAGTGGG